TTTTATATATTTCTTAATTTTAATTAGTCTTTAATATTTTTATTACATTCCCCTGAAAACTGCACAGTTTGAGTCTACAACTATGAGGACATATTGAATTTAATTTAAAACACTGGATTGTAACCAAAACAATCTGTGCAAATTTTCATTTTGGCCCCATGTAATTCATCTCATCACAAATTATTAACAATATTATGTCGTTATTATCTTCCCTGGGCAGTCACATTATTTTTAAGAACCACCAGCAGAGGACACAAAAGACCATTTAAACAGTTCATATCTGCCAATCAAAAATGAACACTGGAAAAACAAGTACAAATCTTTTACTTAAGTAAAAATATTAATACCTTGGTATAAAAGTACCCCATTACAAATAAAATTACTGCATTCAAAATCCTATTTAAGTAAAAGTATCAGGAATAGTTACGTTGCATGAAAAGTGATTTTTATCAGTTGTTTCAGCTTTAGTAGTACTGTAGTTCAGTTTATAAGTAAGGTGCACTGAAGCTGTTCTGACAGCACATGGTGGCCCGACACCTTATTAATTTGTCCTTTTGTACATATTTACAAGCATTCAGGAGAGTGGTATCAATCTTCTCATCTAACTCTCAACAAGACAGCAAATAAGCACATTTCCCAAAAAGTATTGCTTTAATCCAAGCTCATTTTAAACACTCAGAACAAGAGAGAAAACCCAGTGTGCTTCAGCAGAGATGGAGACCAACAAGTCACCTGCCCTCTGCTGCTTTTCACAACCAGCCACCACCACCCCCAATATAAACTCTCACACAATGGTGATAAAAGAAGAAGGCAGTGAGCCCTACTTTTCCAGTGTGTCTGCAGAGGGGGCATTTATTGTCCATTGCCTGCAGGTGGTCTTAGAGTTGCAAAGCTCCTTGAGCTTCTAATGAAGACAGTGAAGCTTCTGAGAGAACTCGCTGTGACAGATTTGGCATCGGCTCAAAGCCCAACTATACTTTCTGTGCTTTTAACTACATGGGTGACTTCAATAAGGGAACACTTTTGTGCATTTTTCATTTTGTGCTGCTCACTGTGCTCCTCTGTTTTTACACATCCCAGAATGGGTCTCAAAGGATAACGGCCATCATTTTCTATATTAATAGCCTAGTACTATTTTCAACAATTTCCATAAAGAGTATAAAACTGATAGTTAATATCTGTCACTCTTGAACCTAGATTATCTTATTTATCTGTGCTATAGTCATCATTGGTTGTTCAAAACACACCACCACGCTGGGTGGCATGTTAGATAAAATACCAGACCTGGATATTTGTTAAAATTGTTGCCCCATCAGCTCCAAACAACCTTTATTTTTTTTACAGTGCCTGAAATAAGCCATTCAACTGACTCATAATAGCAACTTTTAACATTTTATCTACACCATGATTATTGTGTTTTCTTTATGTCTTATTTATTGGTGCTCTGGATGTGTCACAGGGTTTTATTGTACTAATGTTTTGCTGTTTCCCATTGCTCTACATGTCTTATTATACTTGCTTACGTATACGTGGCTTATAATACTTATTTTGCTGCTATTACTGTCTTTATGGGATCTTCTTATTCTGGCACATTTATCTTATGGGTCTGTGCTGAAAAGAAAATGATATTGTGCATGTGGATGTGCATAATTGAAAAGCTGTTAACACAAAATGAATGCAAAAATTAGCCAAGGCAACACTTGCATGAAAATGAATTATGTAGGTTAATCAGCACAGTGTCATCAGACAAGAGTGTCGTGTACAGACTGACGTCCGCAGACCCTGAAACGGTTATCTCAAGGGCAGAAATACATAATGTGAGTTCTCTGAAGAGAACGTACTGTAAGTCCCCTGTGACTGTATGTGCACATGTAATGCCCTTGTGGATTTGTGAATTTACCTCTGAAACAACTGGGTCAAGACTTGTGAAGAGGTTACATTTGAAAAGACAGGAAAATCACAGATTTTATCTTGTTGTTATATAAAAGGCTTATTGAAGATTTGTGTAAAAAGTGATTCTACTGTAGGATTAATTATATGTAGTTGTGAAGGAATTTCTTTTCTAAAACCATGTATTTAATCCAGCACTGAAAAACGTGTTCAAATTCTTAAGTAAAGTATCACTACAGCAGTTTAAAATACTCCAGTACAATTAAAAGGCATGCATACAAAATCATACTTAAATTAAAAAAAAAAATACAGAACTATTTTCAGCATGAGCAGGTTTTTTCTGTCAAATCTCCCAATCTGGGGGTTGGGCTCCAATATAAACAGGTTCATCAGATCAGGCCAGCGGAGACCAAGGTATAGAAGGATGTTTCCGGTGTGGGGAAGTTGGAGATTTGGCTCGGGACTGCCCAGCCCCGTGTCCCAGGCCAGCGGGAAATGGACAGGGGGTGAGGCGTTGAGGGGACCCTCACTCCAACCACCTGCTTCCCTCCCTTCAGACTGGCCAACGGTTGGTCGCTGCAGGCCCGCCCGAGGCCTGTACTTGGACTGCTCGGTGGGCGGACAGCCCTGCCGGGCATTGGTGGATACGGGGTCCATCATCAGCCTGGTTAGGAGGGGACTGTTGCCAGGAGCGGCTGACTTCCTCCCCGAGGGTTGGACTCCCACCCAGTTATGCCGGGCAGGGGGCGGCTGTCAGTGGTGGTGGGGGATAACCAGACGGTCCAGGAGTTCTGGTTGGCTGACATAAGGGACGACTGTATTGTCGGCCTGGACCTCCTGGGCCGGTGGGGGGCGACGGTGGATGTGACCCGGGCTGTCCTGCACACCGTGGCAGTTCCGGGTGATGCCGTTTGGGCTCTGCAACGCTCCGGCCACATTTGAGAGACTGATGGAGTGGGTCCTCAAAGATATCCCCTGTACCCGCTGCGTAGTGTACCTCGACGACCTGCTGGTGCATGCGAGGGGCTTCACGCAAGCCCTGGATAACCTGCGTGAGGTTTTAACCTTCATCAGAGATGCTGGACTTTGCTTAAACCCAGCCAAGTGTCACCTGCTGGCGCGACAGACCAAGTTCCTGGGACATGTGGTCAGCCAGAGAGGTGTCGCTACGGACCCAGAGAAAGTGTCAGCAGTGAGGGACTGGCCCGCCCCGCGGAATGTAGCTGAACTGCGCAGCTTTTTGGGACTGGCGTCTTATTATCGGCGGTTCGTGAGAGGGTTTGCTACATTGGCGGCGCCTCTCCACCAGCTGACGAATAAGGGTCGGGGGTTCGAGTGGAGTGAGGACTGCGCTGCGGCGTTCAACCAGCTCAAGGCGGCGCTGGTGGAAGAACCAGTTCTGGCTTACCCCAACCCCCAGCGGTCCTTTATTGTGGACACTGACGCCAGCGGAGTCGGTGTGGGGGCCGTCCTATCCCAGGAGGGGGAGGACGGCGAGAGAGTGGTGGCTTTTTACAGCGGGCGGGGTTAGCGGCCCT